AATTCCTAATAAAAGAAAAGGTTTCCTCCAGTCAATTCTATTTTCTCTTATTTTTTTACTCTTTTCTTTCACACTCCAATCTAAACTAAGATTTTCATGTCAATTGTGCTCATATGTACTAGACGCAATTATTATACTTAAAATTTAATCAGGAATATATAGCAGCCGAATTTACCTTATTAGAATTATCTGCAGATGTCACTAATTTATGTAATACATGAGAATGTATGCGTATACAGGTGTCTTTTTCGTCTAGTAGTAGCATTCAAATAACTTTCAATTTTTTACGACGCTGTTGAAATAATTTTCTTTTGTTCGTTCTGTGAGGACACAGCAACAACAACAAAAAAAGTAAATATTGATATCTATTTGTTATCGCAGTTAGATGTCGAAACTAAGATCGAAAACTGCTTCATGTATTGTTAACCCTTTCGGAACGGGTGGTAAAACGTATATACCAGTCTTTTGTTAACGGAAATATATTGTTTTTTAATAATGGCAGGTAGTTATGCTTAAGTTAAAGTATGTTTATAATAGAAGTATATATTCAGTATGATTAGCGGGATTCTACCCTAGTACTCTCATGTGTTTTTGCATGACTCCTAAGAACTAACTTTTGTACCTTTTTTTCAAAAAAATAATCCCGTCCAGAAAGGGTTAAAAACACATTCTCGCTTATGTATTTCGATTTTTAGGGATATATTTATTGTGCAGTACATCTTTTGTTTACACTACTATCTCAAGCCGTTGAGGATGGCTGATGATCAAGAAGAAATTACTTCTGACTGTATTACTCGTTTTATTGACACTGAATATGAGCTATCAACAGCAAATACGCCTGTCATTGACTGTCAAGACATGTCGAATGTCAGTTATGAGGATACACCGATCGTGTCAATCGAAGAGGCCGTTGAACCACTTGCTTCGCTTGTACCGGACATACAACGACGTACAGAGGAAGTAAAAAGTAGATGTCCAAATCCACCACCTGACGAATTGACGCTGGACGAATCTGTTTCAATCAGACTCTATTCGTTACAGTGGATACCGTCTAACAAGAGCCTGTATAATATTTTGAATTTGACACTGCGATCGAAGGATATAAAGCAATTGAAACCTTGGTTTCGATATTTGAAACTCTTGTTAACAGCGCTCGAACGACTGCCAACAAAATATCGTACGGTTTATCGTGGAGTCAAACTAGATCTGCACGCAGGTTACCATAGAAGAAGTGTTGTTGAGTGGTGGGCATTTTCCTCATGTTCGAGTAGAATTGGCGTTTTGAAACATGAACTTTTCTTGGGTAAAACTGGGGAAAGAACAATATTTAGTATCGAATGTGAATCAGGGAAAAATATAGAGAAGCACTCTGCTTTTGCCAGTGAAACCGAAATAGTCTTACTTCCAGGTACACAATTCGAAGTTATTGACAGTCTCGATCTGGGCAGTGGGCTTCATCTGATTCAGTTATGTGAACAGAAGACATCTCGATCTCTTCTACATTCTCTTCTGACGACCAACTTATCAAGCACTCCGGAAGGTAAGATGGTGCTATATCAATTCGTCGCCACTCATTTCGTCGCGCTCATTTCGTCGCGTTCTTTTCGTCGCTTCTCAATTCGTCGCCTATTCATTTCGTCGCATTCAGTTCGTCGCGACTTAATGAAAGTAAGAGAGAAAGAATCAGAGACAAAAACATCTGTAATCCAATCACACAGCTCCTTGAAGATTGTTACTGGAATCTGTAACAGGACTGAAATGCTGTAATGGAATTTGATTCACAGCTTCTGAGCCGAGTTTTCTAAAAAGTTGAGGTGACAAGATGAAAGGAAATTGTTGGCTCTGATGTAGGTGAAGTATTCGACAACTGTTTTCGTATGAGATACATGAAATTCACTGGGTCAGCAAACTGAGTGCAGACAAGACTCTCGATACTCGAAAAAATGGGCTCTGGAAAACCCCTTCCACAAAACTTTAGCGACAACACCAAGGGAATCAGTACACAGATAGCTGTTCTCAAAGTTCTTTCGAAGCCTCCAAAGGTTTCTTTTAAAGCCTATGGTTTTTGTGGGTCAGTCTCAAAGACCATACAAAAACCTAAGACTCGGAATCCGAAGTCCTCTCGTGATTTTTCTGGAGGTTTGGGGGCACTGAGCCCCTCTTCGAATAAAAGTCTGGTATCACCGCTACTTTCAGTAAATAATTACAGTTTTGATATACGTTAGATTTGATAAGACTTGATTGAGCCTCTCAAGTTGTTCAATAGACTCTAGCAAGTCTTTACAGAGTTGTGTAATTGGATTACAGATGTTTTTGTCTCTGATTCTTTCTCTCTTACTTTCATTAAGTCGCGACGAACTGAATGCGACGAAATGAATAGGCGACGAATTGAGAAGCGACGAAAAGAACGCGACGA